AACCCTTAAAGAGCCACAAGAGAACAGAATTTGGTTATATTTTCGTTAATTTCCCAAGACCTTTAATAAAATCCTTGTTTTGTTTGAACCTTGTCTCCTTGCACTACTTGAGCAATCCCGCTGAAAGCTGTGTAGCCTCTCGTGACGTCACACCATCTACAAATAGGTGCCCTTCTTTGCGAGGCATCGGAAAACGTCCCTGGTCCTTGTGGTTGAATCTGTTTGAAATTCACTGCTCGACAGAGGGACTTTACAGATAATTGTATGTGTGGGGTACAGAGATGAGGTAGTCATTAAAAAATCATGTTAAACACTATTATTGCACAGAGTGAATCCATGCAATTTATGTGACTTGTTAAGCACATGTTTAACTCCTGAACTTATTTAAGCTTGCCATAACAAAGGGTATGAATACTTATTGATTAAAGACATTTCAGCTTTTCATTTTTAATACATTTGTAAAAAAATATCTAAAAACATAATTCCACTTTGACATAATGGGGTATTGTGTTAATCAATTTTAAATTCAGGCTGTAACAACAAAATGTGGAAAAAGTCAAGGGGTGTGAATACTTTCAGAAGGCACTGTATATTAGCCTTTTCACGCTTCATGTTGACATCTATAACTAACTTAATTGAGTTACACAATACATTTGTAGATACTTTAGGATGATTTGGATATGAAGCATGGAAATGCTAAAATAGGTACCATTGACTTGCATTGGATTTGTGACATAAATGTGAAAAAGTTAGCATTTGAAACCAGGTAAACAAAACCAAAGCATGGAATGCTGTCATACCTTGTCCATAGACTGTTTACAGGGTAAGGAAATCAATGTAATTTTGTAATTTGGGTGCACTATCCCTTTAATGTCCCTAACCACATACTGTAAATTGCCATCACAATGGAACATCACTTGGGGGTTGTCCATTTCGTCTGAAGATCGATTAATCAAATCATCTAATTTTTCTTTCTCTGTATTGTGTTCCCCACTTCGGCAATGGATAGATTTTTCCATCCATTGTTCAATATGGCTTGACCTGCGGCAGGCGTTTCAGTTGAGAGAGGTTACACCATCATATGCTAAGTACTCCACTCAGACATGGATATGGCTCCACTACAATAATACCTCACTGAGAGATAACACTGCAGTGGAACCATAGCAACACTGATGTTGTGACCATATTTCGAGAGAGAGGGTTCCAACACTATTATATAATATACTGACCTCTCTATGAAACTGTTTAATGAAATGAAAGAGCTGTTTGGACATTAGGAATGAGCACCACAGAAAATAAAGCACTGGTCTGTTCAGTTGGACAGGTTCACATAGAGGTGCAGTCCAAGATAATCCGATAACACACAGACAGCTGAGTAGGCTTTCTCATTGCGAAAGTGGCATGTGTAAAATGAGTAGTATGATTGATAGTCTGTAAGAGGAGAGGAGGGTGCACTGAGGCAGAGAAAGGTAAAGCTGGTGGAAAGTACCTGTACAAAACATATTCTTTGATTGGGTTGGAGGAAAAACAAATGGCTGTAATTTAACAACGGGAAGCTCAGTCGGGAAAAAATGGAAAGGAAATTGTTAAATTATTATTAATGAAAAATAAAACACTAATATATCTTCATTAAATAAGTATTCACCCCCTGAGACAATACATCCCACTGGGCACAGATGTCAGTTCAACGTCTAGTTTTGATTTACATTTGGTTGAGTTGTCAACTTCATGAAAAAAAGTTGGGTGAAAAATACTAAATGCCCTTAAATTGATGACTTTTTGCAAATCCAATTAGGTTTCAACGTTGATTCAATGTCATCGCAGATTTTTGGGGGTTCAAACTGTTTTTGCCCAGTGGGATGTTAGAAACCGCTTCGGCAGTGATTACTGCTGGGAGTCTTCTTGGGTAAGTCTCTTAGGGGCCGAATCAGACTTTGCCTTTCCTACGCACGCCTTTCCTATGCACTTCTCAGTATTTGGTGTTCAGACTTACCTTATTCAGACGCTTAATGCGCTCTGCAGGTGTGGCTACCGTGTGCGCTCGGAATAAATTTGATTAAGCCCCTGAAAACCCTCACACTTGCTGACCAACATAGGGGTTTCAGTACATTTATCTTAAGCCATCCATTTAAAAAACGGTGTACCTTTTAGTTTGAATTTTGTCGACACTCACTAGAATATATAGAGAGAACTGGTTCAGAATATTAGGGATCAATGAAAGAAAGCCATCTAAATATATGCATATTCGACTCCGTTTCACCAATTGGTAGATTAAAAAATACTCTGATCTTGTAGATTATTTAGGTTTAGGAAAATATTTTAGAATCATAAAAAACAGGTTTGGAGAGCCTCTACACATGAAAGAAAGAAAATGGTGGTTTGATTAATTCTGAAAATGGCCTCATTCAGTTCCTCAACCAATGGTAATGTTGAAAGATTAGTGTACATACTGTAGAATTATAATAGGGAGAATAGTGTACAATAGTAGGCTGTACCCTCGTCTATTGCCTGCACTAACCATGGAACTGTGTGATGACATGGCCAAGTATTGCGCCATACGTCAGGTTCAAACTGTTACGGCTTGGTCTGCGCGCTGCTCCATAATGATTTAATTAGCTTACATTTCTAATTTTTTTATATCATCAATTGTCACTAATGATCTTCAGCAACAACCACAGGGTCGTGACGGCGTTTACAGAGGAAGCAACTTAAGGTAAACGAAACAATGTAATGAAATGGAATGATAATGTAGGCTATACCAACTGAAGGGAACTAACAGTAAATTGGCAGTTGAATATGTGTGGTTATTAGGCCAGCTGACAATCGATACTGACAGTGGTTCATATTTATCATGATAGAAATAGGAAACAGAGAAAGTCAGGGTAGCCTATAATTAAGACATTCGAGAGTGCACATCCCTGCAAGTAAAAAGACATACAATTTAAAATCTGCATAATGGCACAGCATTTCATAAACTTGACTGTGGGAAAATTGATACGTTGATATGCTCCAGTTTGCTGCCATATGATGGTTTCACATTTGTCTCCAGCGATTATAAGGTAAAATAGATCTAAAACAAGTGTCATTTATATTTACAATTCCTTTATCCAAACTGATTACTCATTTACCTAGCTCTTATCAATAGCTCTTATCAAGTTGTAAATGACATTGCATGGAGAATAGTATTATTTATTTCGGAAAAAATAAAGTAGATGCTTTTTCCACTTGGAAATGGTGGGTTCGCTAGACCTTATTCATGATTTCCTCGCATGTAAAGTTGGTGGAATTATTAGGGAATTAAGTCAAGGTCAGAATACGCCATATCTGTAGACACACCTCCGCCACACCTTCATTTATTAGATCTCCACCCCAAACGAATAGCGGGTGAATAGCATGCTATTCTCATGCTTAAGTTCAAGGTCAGAATACTCATAGAGAGAAAAGTGCATAAAAAGGGAATTATGTTCCATTTATGCACGCTTAACTCGGGTCGGAATCAGACCCTTAAGGATGTGCACACATGGATTATGCAATATTTGTCCAGTATTCTTTTCAAAATTCTTCAAGCTCTGTCAAGTCTTGCCATAGATTTTCAAGCCCATTTAAGTCAAAACGGTAACTAGGCCACTCAGGAACATTCATTGTGGTCTTGGTAAGCAAGTCCAGTGTATATTTGGCCTTGTTTTAGATTATTGTCCTGCTGAAAGGGGAATTTGTCTCCCAGTGTCTGGTGGAAAGCAGACTAAACCAGGTTTTCTCTAGGATTTTGCCTGTGCTTAGCTCCACTCCGTATCTATTTATCCTGAAAAACTCCCATACCTGCCGATTACGAGCATACCCATAACATGATGCAGCCACCACCATGCTTGAAAATATGGAGAGTGGCACTCAGTGATGTGTTGGATTTGTCCCACACATAAGGCTTTGTATTCAGAACAAAAAGTCAATTCCTTTGACAAATTTTTCTTTAAAGGCTTTCTTCTTTTCACTCTGTGATTTAGGTTAGTATTGTGGAGTAACTACAATGTTGTTAATCCATCCTCAGTTTTCTCCTGTCACAGCCATTAACCTCTGTAACTGTTTTAAAATCCCCATTGGCCTCATGGTGAAATCCCTGAGCGGTTTCCTTCGTCTCTGGCAACTCAGTTAGGAAGGACGCCTGTATCTTTGTAGTGACTTAGTGTATTGATCCACCATCCAAAGCCTAAATAATAACTTCACCATGCTTAAAGGGATATTCAGTGTCTGCTTTTTTTTACCCAGCTACCAATCGGTGCCCTTCTTTGCAAGGCATTGGAAAACCTCTCTGGTCTTTGTTGTTTAATTATTATTTAGGCTTGCCATAACATAGGGGTTGACTACTTATATAACCAATACATTTTAGTTATTTATTTTTGACTAATTTGTAAACATTTATAGAATTTTCTTTTCACTTTGACGTAATGGAATATTTTCTGTAGATCAGTGACAAAAAAATCACAAGAAATCCCTTTAAATCACACTTTGTAACGCAACTAAATGTCAGGGGGGGGGGGGTGAATAATTATGATAGGCACTTCTCTGATCTGCTTTAAAAGAGTGTTCAGTGACTGATAATGTTGTTAAACAACTGACATGAAAATTAAACTGCAGTAACAGTAAATTAGTGCTGAGCGATTAGTGCTTTTTGAGGTCGGGTTGGTTTCTATACAGCTGCTGCCTATGCTGTCTGACAAAATCACAATTTTAGTAGTTCTTCAAAGTAAATAAGGCATACTTAGATCATGTATTTTTAGGTAGATATAACTCGTGAAGAAACTGCTCTCTATCCCTCTTGATCGAGCTTTCTTCTGTCTCTTCTCTTGCTCTCCGTGTCTGCCCCACACTAACGTAACGTTGCAGGCGTAAAAGAAACACACAGACGGACAAGCAGGCGCAATGGATTATCGTCATTGAAGTTAATTACCATGTTTTCTGCACTAAACTATGTAGAATATTGGCCTGTTGGAAAATACAACTCCCTACTACATCACACAGTTCAGGCTTGTTCTGCTTTATCTCTTGAGAAACTGCGCAATGTTCACATTGAGCTTACAGAAAAGAAAACGGAACAAAATTGAATTAAAATAATTGAACCAACATTTCAGTTAATTGCTCAGCACTACTGAGTAAAGTAAACTGCAGTACTCTCTTAAAGAGAGAAAAGGAAGAAAGAGGCCAGTCTTTTCCTGATAAGCCAGCATGTTCAATGCTCAAAAAATTTCCTGAAATCGGTTCATTCCCCACTTCTTGATGCTTCCCTCCCTAAGGTGGTGGAAGTCTGTTTCATTTTATACCCTCTATATATCTGTTTATCTACTGGGCAGATATTTGGCTGCCCTCTCTCTGGGCCTAGTCTTTCAGCAGCCCCAGCTTCCTAAGTGCCTCTCGTCTATCTTCTCCCATGCTGGGCACCATCACCACACTGATGCCTGGGCAGTGCGGGGTCTTGTGGGGGGACACTGGCTGTGCAGCGGGGGTTGTTTTCACCTGTTCTGGGGCTTTGTTGGGAGCAGGTGGGGTGCAACGTCCACCCTCCCTCTGGCTGCCCAGGGTGGCGGAGTGGGGATCGGGAGGTATCCCATGGTCAGACTTGTAGCTCCCAAGCCCCAACCCTGAGCGCTCCAGGTTGGCAGCTTTGACCCCACTCGGTTTGGCCAGGTGTGAGAGGGGGACGGTGGGCTGCTCCTCACTAGAGCGATGTAGGAAGCTGCTGCTGCTTTGTACTGGCCTGATGTTAGATTCTCTGGGTCCCTGGGAGGTGGTTGAGGGCTGGCTTCTTGTTGGGTTACCATGAGGTGGAGCTTTGACTCCCACACTGGCTGACGTTAGTTCCAAGGAGGAGTGAGATTTGGAGGTGCACAGTGGCGTAACAGGCTTAGGTTGGGACTCATTATTGTCTCTCAGGAGCCCCAGCTTTTGTAAGGCCTCCTTTCTCACCCTCTGGGGGTCCGACAAATGCCTGTCACTGGGCAATGAGCCCAAGGAAGTGGCACTGGAGTCTGTGGTGGGGTTGGCAGTATCCTTTTGGTTATTCAGCGCAGTGTGGGAAGGTATTTTGTTTTGGGGGGGAAACACGACTGGAGGACTGGCCTTGTGCTTGCTGGGCTCCTGGGGGAGTATCCCCTGGGCTGGGGTGACTGAGGGGCCTCTGGGTGTGCTTCCATGATGCGGGTGAATGGGTATGTCTGATGCAGAGGGCTGCCTGTTCCAGTCTCTGGTCTCAGCTGTGGGACTTTGAGGGGTTCTCTTCATGGAGGCACTCTTCCTTAGCTGCACTAGGGCTTCATAGGACAGAGGGCCTCTGGGTGAAGGGGGTGGTCTCTGACCAGGGTAGTCTTTGGGCTTTGACGGAGGGGGAATCACAACAACATTGACCTCAGGGGGTACACAAGGGTGGTGGCCCTGACATGGCCTGTTGTCCAAGGCAGTGACCTTGGGCTTTGGGAGAGAGTTCTCCTTATCTGGGGGTATGCCTGGCCTAGCCTTGGGCAGGATGCAGGAGGTGCTGTTGGCCAGGATGAACGGAGTAGGAACCAGGTAACCGTGCTGCTCTCTGGGATATTTTGATACATCTGAAAGACAAACAAAATACTAATTAGATGCTTTTGATATTCAAGAGGATCTAATTCCCTCCTTGGCAGGTCACTCACTGTTGAGTTTGTTTTGGCCAATGGAGGCAGAGAGGTGGGCCATCTTGGTGGCCACATTGCCGGTGGTGGGCAGGCAGTCAGGCTCATTATTGGATAGTCCACTGTCCTCCTCAGTCTCTAGGGACTCTATGGTCTCTTCCAAGAACATGAGACATGCCCTCTCCTCAGCAGACAGGTGCTCAAAGCTATCGTCACTCTGCAAGACACACAAGACCCATTTAAAAACACTTAAAACCCCAGAACTCCCTTAAGGTATTGTCAATTCAGTTCATTCTGAGCTGTTTAGTTCTATGTGAGATGCAGTCATTTGTCACAAAATGTATTTGGCAAAACGTATTGTGCGGGTTCAGGAATACAACTTGAGAGATGTGAGGATAACACATGTACTTACAAATCCAGAGTTCATGCTGACAACACTGTCACAGCTGCCTGCACTGTCCATGCCAGTCATCGTCTCTATTGTGACACCACCCGGCCATGTGTCACTCTTTGGCATTGTAAGGATGAAGGAGTCCAAGGCAGTAATAGAAGTTTGTAGTAGAAAACCTTTATCTTGCTCCGTTAAAAAGAAACACAAAACAACTTGATGCATACAGTGAGGGAAAAAAGTATTTGATCCCCTGCTGATTTTGTACGTTTGCCCACTGACAAAGACATGATCCGTCTATAATTTTAATGGTAGGTTTATTTGAACAGTGAGAGACAGAATAACAACAACAAAATCCAGAAAAACGCATGTCAAAAATGTTATAAATTGATTTGCATTTTAATGAGGGAAATACAGTGGGGAGAACAAGTATTTGATACACTGCCGATTTTGCAAATCACATTGCATGATTTTTAAGTAAATAATTTGCATTTTATTGCATGACAAAAGTATTTGATCACCTACCAACCAGTAAGAATTCTGGCTCTCACAGACCTGTTAGGTTTTCTTTAAGAAGCCCTCCTGTTCTCCACTCATTACCTGTATTAACTGCACCTGTTTGAACTCGTTACCTGTATAAAAGACACCTGTCCACACACTCAATCAAACAGACTCCAACCTCTCCACAATGGCCAAGACCAGAGAGCTGTGTAAGGACATCAGGGATAAAATTGTAGACCTGCACAAGGCTGGGATGGGCTACAGGACAATAGGCAAGCAGCTTGGTGAGAAGGCAATAACTGTTGGCGCAATTATTAGAAAATGGAAGAAGTTCAAGATGACGGTCAATCACCCTCGGTCTGGGGCTCCATGCAAGATTTCACCTCGTGGGGCATCAATGATCATGAGGAAGGTGAGGGATCAGCCCAGAACTACACGGCAGGACCTGGTCAATGACCTGAAGAGAGCTGGGACCACAGTCTCAAAGAAAACCATTCGTAACACACTACGCCGTCATAGATTAAAATCCTGCAGCACACGCAAGGTCCCCCTGCTCAAGCCAGCGCATATCCAGGCCCGTCTGAAGTTTGCCAATGACCAACTGGATGATCCAGATGAGGAATGGGAGAAGGTCATGTGGTCTGATGAGACTAAAATATAGCTTTTTGGTCTAAACTCCACTCGCCGTGTTTGGAGGAAGAAGAAGGATGAGTACAACCCCAAGAACACCATCCCAACCGTGAAGCATGGGGGTGGAAACATCATTCTTTGGGATGCTTTTCTGCAAAGGGGACAGGACGACTGCACCATATTGAGGGGAGGATGGATGGGGCCATGTATCGCGAGATCTTGGCCAACAACCTCCTTCCCTCAGTAAGAGCATTGAAGATGGGTTGTGGCTGGGTCTTCCAGCATGACAACGACCCGAAACACACAGCCAGGGCAACTAAGGAGTGGCTCCGTAAGAAGCATCTCATGGTGCTGGAGTGGCCTAGCCAGTCTCCAGACCTGAACCCAATAGAAAATCTTTGGAGGGAGCTGAAAGTCCGTATTGCCCAGCGACAGCCCCGAAACCTGAAGGATCTGGAGAAGGTCTGTATGGAGGAGTGGGCCAAAATCCCTGCTGCAGTGTGTGCAAACCTGGTCAAGACCTACAGGAAACGTATGATCTCTGTAATTGCAAACAAAGGTTTCTGTACCAAATATTAAGTTGTGCTTTTCTGATGTATCAAATACTTATGTCATGCAATAAAATGCAAATTAACTACTTAAAAATCATACAATGTGATTTTCTGGATTTTTGTTTTAGATTCCGTTTCTCACAGTTGAAGTGTACCTATGATAAAAATTACAGACCTCTACATGCTTTGTAAGTAGGAAAACCTGCAAAATCTGCAGTGTATCAAATACTTGTTCTCCCCACTGTAAGTGTTTGACCCCCTCTCAATCAGAAAGATTTCTGGCTCACAGGTGTCTTTTATACAGGTAACGAGCTGAGATTAGGAGCACACTCTTAAAGGGAGTGCTCCTAATCTCAGCTTGTTACCTGTATAAAAGACACCTGTCCACAGAAGCAATCAATCAATCAGATTCCAAACTCTCCACCATGGCCAAGACCAAAGAGCTCTCCAAGGATGTCAGGGACAAGATTGTAGACCTACACAAGGCTGGAATGGGCTACAAGACCATCGCCAAGCAGCTTGGTGAGAAGGTGACAACAGTTGGTGCGATTTTTCGCAAATGGAAGAAACACAAAAGAACTGTCAATCTCCCTCAGCCTGGGGCTCCATGCAAGATCTCACCTTGTGGAGTTGCAATGATCATGAGAATGGTGAGGAATCAGCCCAGAACTACACGGGAGGATCTTGTCAATGATCTCAAGGCAGCTGGGTCCATAGTCAACAAGAAAACAATTGGTAACACACTACGCCGTGAAGGACTGAAATCCTGCAGTGCCCGCAAGGTCCCCCTGCTCAAGAAAGCACATATACAGGCCCATCTGAAGTTTGCCAATGAACATCTGAATGATTCAGAGGAGAACTGGGTGAAAGTGTTGTGGTCAGATGAGACCAAAATTGAGCTCTTTGGCATCAACTCAACTCGCCGTGTTTGGAGGAGGAGGAGGAATGCTGCCTATGACCCCAAGAACACCATCCCCACTGTCAAACATGGAGGTGGAAACATTATGCTTTGGGGGTGTTTTTCTGCTAAGGGGACAGGACAACTTCACCGCATCAAAGGGACGATGGACAGGGCCATGTACCGTCAAATCTTGGGTGAGAACCTCCTTCCCTCAGCCAGGGCATTGAAAATGGGTCGTGGATGGGTATTCCAGCATGACAATGACCCAAAACACACGGCCAAGGCAACAAAGGAGTGGCTCAAGAAGAATCACATTAAGGTCCTGGAGTGGCCTAGCCAGTCTCCAGACCTTCATCCCATAGAAAATCTGTTGCGGGAGCTGAAGGTTCGAGTTGCCAAACGTCAGGCTCGAAACCTTAATGACTTGGAGAAGATCTGCAAAGAGGAGTGGGACAAAATCCCTCCTGAGATGTGTGCAAACCTGGTGGCCAACTACAAGAAACGTCTGACCTCTGTGATTGCCAACAAGTGTTTTGCCACCAAGTACTAAGTCATGTTTTGCAGAGGGGTCAAATACTTATTTCCCTCATTAAAATGCAAATCAATTTATAACATTTTTGACATGCGTTTTTCTGGATTTTTTTGTTGTTATTCTGTCTCTCACTGTTCAAATAAACCTACCATTAAAATTATAGACTGATCATGTCTTTGTCAGTGGGCAAATGTACAAAATCAGCAGGGGATCAAATACTTTTTCCCCTCACTGTAAATAAAATAATTAATTACACTTTGGTACTTTGAATATACCACACATTCCTATTTCACATGTTCATATCTAAATGTCCACTAATAAAACTTAGCTAATCAATTATTATAATCCATTTCACAATCTATTTTCTCCCTATCAAACTCTCTCTCACACACCTTTCTCAACCTTTTTATATCACAGTCAGATCTCCTTACATAACTATATAAGTGATTCACACAGACCTGATGAATGAGTAGCAGAGCTAGTGGAGAAAAACAGGGTATCATGGCTAAGTCTATTTCTGTGAGATATCTTAGCTAACTACTCTCCTGGCCACATGTGACTCAGATTACAGCACACACTACTCTAATCTCCTTCAGAAGGATCAATTTCAGCAAGAATGAAAGACAATACAAATGATATCTCTCCTTAACGCTACATACTACTTAACCATATACCTGTTGGTATAGATAGAGTAGCATTGCTTGTTTGTTAAATTATGCATTTGAAAATGTAGAATGATGTAGGTAATGATGGATCGATTGTTGAACTAACTCTTTCACACCATTTTCCGTATTATGTGTGAATGCACAACAAACAAACAGATGTGAAATATGAACCTCTAATTAAATAGTCTGAGACCATAATAAAGTACTCCCTGATTGAGGGGTGTTTTAGAAGAAAAGCCTTGAGTGGTTTCAACACCTGAGTGGGGCTACTAAGTAGGTCAGTAGAGAGACAATAGCAGTTCTGTTCTGTTCATTGCTCAGGATTTGTCATGTTACTCCATACCAGGCAATTTCCCTATGGAAGTTAAGTCCTCTATCCACAGGCATTTATGTAAAATCTCTTTCCAAATCTCTATCTGCTCTTGAGATGTGGATTTGAATGTGACGAAGTTCGTGATAATGTTTATTGTCTTTTAACCTGTCCCAATCTGGACTGATCTAATGCAAATAGCAGGGCAGTGGCAGCTCAAGCAGACAATGGAGAGCACACGGCCTCATTTATTCTGGTTCAAAAGAAAAGTGTGACAAAGTGGAATAATACAGTCGATACTGGATAGAAAAGTAGTAAAATGTCTTATCCGTGGTTATCAGTCCCCTATAGATGTTTCACTAGATGTGAGATATGCAGAAGATATGAAATGAATAACCTCCATTGTGTTTTGTGCTATATATTTCACAGATGTTTAACCAAGACACACAAAATACTTTAACCCTCATGCCCCTATCATGCCAATGTGTATGATCAGCCTGCCCTATGGGTGAAAGAAGGGAAAATAGATGGAGGTTATCACCACACAGTATTATCAGTTGTACAGTATTTACAGAACTTAGCTATATCACACAGGTAGTGTGACATCATGCTAATTTCCTCAGAATGACAAACCTCAGATCATCTAGTTAATCATTACTTCAACCCACCACTTCTGACATAGAAGTACATTTACTTATTAGCCAGAACAATGTTCCTGTCCACTGCTCAAAGGGCTTAGTCATGGTTCATATTGAATACAATCCATATGTGTCTGTGATGGTGAGTCACCTGACACACAATGAAAAACAAATGTGTCATTCTCCATCAATTCAGGACAAACTCTATTGTAAACATTGTTGCAGGATTTGCTCAAACATACACATGCACTGGGGGCAATAACATAATATGGGGAATAACACGTTGTTGTCATAAGGCAGGTTAAGGTTTGCTAGCAGACATTCAACACCAGGGTCAATGTCTTTTTCTGATCTTGATACTCCCATTGGACTCAGCTACAGTATGTTTGTACAGAGGCAATTTTATAACTTGTGAGTAAATGTATGCCGTGCTGGTCTTGTGTCTTATGCAAGAAGGTAAATTGATCTGTATTATCAATAGTTGCCATACAATCTAGGCAATGCAGTAGCCATGCAGATAGTTTACAGCAAAATCTATGTAGGCTATACATTTGTTTGAATTTCAAGAATCATTCAGAATCATTATTTTATCTTATAAAAATATAAAAATAGCTATTCTCTATTGTATTATAATTAAGCTTACCTGTCATTTGTTGCAATTGTACAGGCTTTGCGCTAATAACCCCACATTCCATCAATCGCACAGGGCTCATCCGTCCACCTGTTGCCTGCCTGTATCGTCGGCGCTTCTGTTCAGCACTGTGCTACTACAGGTGATAATAAACCATGTGCCACACATTCTTAACCAATCATAGCACTGTACACCTAAGCCATTGAGGCTTCATTCAAGCTACACATCTATGTAGTAGTAGGTCAACTACATGTTTTAGTGGTGTTACCTTGATCCTTGAAGAAGTACGCAATTTTGTTATAGTATCTACAAAAAATGCCTACCACTAGTGTTTTATATTCTCAGAATACCTGTGTGGGAATAGCCCTGAGAGTAGCCGTGTGTCACTGTTGTCATGCACAGGTTTCTAATCCTATTGTTGGAGATTGAAGGTTCCTTAAAATAACATGTCTAATCCAGTGAATTGACAATGATTCAATTTATTTAATCCTGTTTGTAGGATTGGGATTTATTATAACTGCCTTTGGTCACTGAGTCCTGCTGGGTTGTTTAGGCCATACAGCAAACTATCAAACAAGATTAAATATTACCCACAACAAATTATTAAAGTGAATCTACTACAGAGGCTTGCGAAAGTATTCACCCCCCTTGGCATTTTTCCTATTTTGTTGCCTTACAACCTGGAATTAAAATGGATTCTTGGGGGGGTTGTATCATTTGATTTACACAACATGCCTACCACTTTGAAGATGCAAAATATTTTTTTATGTGAAACAAGAAATAAAAGAAAACTAGAGCGTGCATAACTATTCACCCCCCCAAAGTCAATACTTTGTAGAGCCACCTTTTGCAGCAATTACAGCAGCAAGTCTCTTGGGGTATGTCTCTATAAACTTGGCACATCTAGCCACTGGGATTTTTGCCCATTCTTCAAGGCAAAACTGCTCCAGCTCCTTCAAGTTGGATGGGTTCCGCTGATGTACAGCAATCGTTAAGTCATACCACAGATTCTCAATTGGATTGAGGTCTGGGCTTTGACTAGGCCATTCCAAGACATTTAAATGTTTCCCCTTAAACCACTTGAGTGTTGCTTTAGCAGTATGCTTAGGGTCATTGTCCTGCTGGAAGGTGAACCTCCGTCCCAGTCGCAAATCTCTGGAAGACTGAAACAGGTTTCCCTCAAGAATTTCCCTGTATTTAGCGCCATCCATCATTCCTTCAATTCTGACCAGTTTCCCAGTCCCTGCCGATGAAAAACATCCCCACAGCATGATGCTGCCACCCCCATGCTTCACTGTAGGGATGGTGTTCTCAGGGTGATGAGAGGTGTTGGGTTTGCGCCAGACATAGCGTTTTCCGTGATGGCCAAAAAGCTACATTTTAGTCTCATCTGACCAGAGTACCTTCTTCCATATGTTTGGGGAGTCTCCCACATGCCTTTTGGCGAACACCAAACGTGTTTGCTTATTTTTTTCTTTAAGCAATGGCTTTTTCTGGCCACTCTTCCGTAAAGCCCAGCTCCGTGGAGTGTATGGCTTAAAGTGGTCCTATGGACAGATACTCTAATCTCTGCTGTGGAGCTTTGCAGCTCCTTCTGGGTTATCTTTGGTCACTTTGTTGCCTCTCTGATTAATGCCCTCCTTGCCTGGTTCCGTGAGTTTTGGTGGGCGGCCCTCTCTTGGCAGGTTTGTTGTGGTGCCATATTCGTTCTATTTTTTAATAATGGATTTAATGGTGCTCCGTGGGATGTTCAAAGTTTCAGATTATTTTTTTATAACCCAACCCTGATCTGTACTTCTCCACAACTTTGTCCCTGAGCTGTTTGGAGAGCTCCTTGGTCTTCATGGTGCCGCTTGCTTGGTGGTGCCCCTTGCTTAGTGGTGTTGCAGACTCTGAGGCCTTTCAGAACAGGTGTATATATACTGAGATCATGTGACAGATCATGTGACACTTAGATTGCACACAGGTGGACTTTATTTAACTAATTATGTGACTTCTGAAGGTAATTGGTTGCACCAGATCTTATTTAGGGGCTTCATTATACATTTTTTAGAATTTTTTGAAACATGCTATTTTTTTAATTTCACTTCACCAATTTGGACTATTTTGTGTATGTCCATTACATGAAACCCCCCCCCCCCCAAAAAAAAGCAATTTAAATTACAGGTTGTAATGCAACAAAATAGGAAAAACGCCAAGGGGGATGAATACTTTTGCAAGGCACTGTAACTAAATTGTGCAAGATCAAACAATATATATATATACTGCGTCTGCTAAATGACTAAAATGTAAATGTAGTGGGTGATGAGGACGGAGTCAGGCGCAGGAGGTGTGAATCACAGAATATGGTTTATTCGTCCAATACAGCAGTTCGCAGCAATGTAAAAACCAAATACAGTGCGACTTCAATGCGCACTGGGAAAACCAAACACACGGGTGAATATCCCAGCGACAAAAGTAACATGAATGTTCAACCGAGCTAGCGACACCTCCACATGGAAACAATAACACACAAAGACATGGGGAGCAGAGGGAATAATTATACAGAGACTGATGAGGTGTGTGTGAAAAACAAGACAAAACAAATGGAATTATGAAAAGAGGAGCGGCAGTGGCTAGAAGGCCGGTGACGACGAAGCCTGCCCGAACAAGGAGAGGAGGCAGCTTCGGAGGAAGTCATGACAGTGCAATAGCATTGCCATGTCATAGCCTTTTTGCTGACATCCTAAAATATTTCCAATTAAATATTCACTGGCTCACCAACGTGAGTTTTCAAATCAATCCCATCTGCATTGTACATAAGGAAAACAAATCTAAGCAGCATTACTGTATTCAGTTAGGTGGGAATTCCGAACAGAGTTAAGCGCGCTTAAATGGAACATAATTCCCATTTTATGCACTTTTCTCTATATGCGTATTCTGACCTTGAACTTAAGCATAAGAATAGCATGCTATTTACCCGCTATTAGTTTGGGGTGGCGATCGAATAAATTAAGGTGTGGCGGAGGTTTGTCTACAGCTACGCTATATTACAAAATAGCCTCCAACACTCTACTCAGCAAATTGGATGTAGTCTATCACAGTGCCATCCGTTTTGTCACCAAAGCCCCATATACTACCCACCACTGTGACCTGTACGCTCTTGTTGGCTGGTCGTCACTACATATTCGTCGCCAAACCCACTGGCTCCAGGCCATCTATAAATCACTGCTAGGCAAATCCCCTCCTTATCTTAGCTCATTGGTCACCATAGCAACACCCACCCGTAGTATGCGCTCCAGCAGGTACAGTGGGGCAAAAAAAGTATTTAGTCAGCCACCAATTGTGCAAGTTCTCCCACTTAAAAAGATGAGAGAAGCCTGTAATTTTCATCATAGGTACACGTCAAAAATGACAGACAAATTGAGAGAAAAAAAATCCAGAAAATCACATTGTAGGATTTTTAATGAATTTATTTGCAAATTATGGTGGAAAATAAGTATTTGGTCACCTACAAAGAAGCAAGATTTCTGGCTCTCACAGACCTGTAACTTCTTCTTTAAGAGGCTCCTCTGTCCTCCACTCGTTACCTGTATTAATGGCACCTGTTTGAACTTGTTATCAGTATAAAAGACACCTGTCCACAACCTCAAACAGTCACACTCCAAAGTCCACTATGGCCAAGACCAAAGAGCTGTCAAAGGACACCAGAAACAACATTGTAGACCTGCACCAGGCTGGGAAGACTGAATCTGCAATAGGTAAGCAGCTTGGTTTGAAGAAATCAACTGTGGGAGCAATTATTAGGAAATGGAAGACATACAAGACCACTGATAATCTCCCTCGATCTGGGGCTCCATGCAAGATCTCACCCCGTGGGGTCAAAATGATCACAAGAACGGTGAGCAAAAATCCCAGAACCACACGGGGGGACCTAGTGAATGACCTGCAGTAGCTGGGACCAAAGTAACAAAGCCTACCATCAGTAACACACTACGCCGCCAGGGACTCAAATCCTGCAGTGCTAGACGTGTCCCCCTGCTTAAGCCAGTACATGTCCAGGCCCGTCTGAAGTTTGCTAGAGTGCATCCAGAAGAGGATTGGGAAAATGTCATATGGTCAGATGAAACCAAAATATAACTTTTTGGTAAAAACTCAACTCGTCGTGTTTGGAGGACAAAAAATGCTGAGTTGCATCCAAAGAACACCATACCTACTGTGAAGCATGGGGGTGAAAACATCATGCTTTGGGGCTGTTTTTCTGCAAAGGGACCAGGACGACTGATCCGTGTAAAGGAAAGAATGAATGGGGCCATGTATCGTGAGATTTTGAGTGAAAATCTCCTTCCATCAGCAAGGGCATTGAAGTTGAAACGTGGCTGGGTCTTTCAGCATGACAATGATCCCAAACACACCGCCCGGGCAACGAAGGAGTGGCTTCGTAAGAAGCATTTCAAGGTCCTGGAGTGGCCTAGCCAGTCTCCAGATCTCAACCCCATAGAAAATCTTTGGAGGGAGTTGAAAGTCCGTGTTGCCCAGCGACAGCCCCAAAACATCACTGCTCTAGAGGAGATCTGCATGGAGGAATGGGCCAAAATACCAGCAACAGTGTGTGAAAACCTTGTGAAGACTTACAGAAAACGTTTGACCTGTGTCATTGCCAACAAAGGGTATATAACAAAGTATTGAGAAACTTTTGTTATTGACCAAATACTTATTTTCCACCATAATTTGCAAATAAATTCATTAAAAATCCTACAATGTGATTTTCTGGTTTTTCTTTTCTCATTTTGTCTGTCATAGTTGACGTGTACCTATGATGAAAATTACAGGCCTCTCTCATCTTTTTAAGTGGGAGAACTTGCACAATTGGTGGCTGACTAAATACTTTTTTTCCCCACTGTATATCTCACTGGTCATCCCCAAAGCCAACACCTCCTTTGGCCGCCATTCCTTCCAGTTCTCTGCTGCCAATGACTGGAACGAACTGCAAAAATCTCTGAAGCCGGAGACTCTTATCTCCCTCACTAACTTTAAGCATCAGTTGTCAGAGCACCTTACCGATCACTGCACATGTACACAGCCCATCAGAAATTTGCCCACCCAACTACCTCATCCCCATATTGTTAT